AAACATCTCCCAATTCTTGAATAATAGCCTGAACCTTTGTGGCATTAGATCCTGTCAGGATAATGTCATCAACATATAATAATAAGGCAATAACATCAGTGCCATCATGTTTGATAAACAGACTGTTATCGGATTGAGACATTGTAAATCCCATAGCTGGAAGATAGCCTGGAAACTTAGCATTCCAGGCCCTAGGTGCCTGTTTCAAACAATACAGAGATTTAACCACTTTGCACACAAAATCAGGATGTGTAGAATCCACAAAACCTTGAGGTTGCTGCATGTAAACCTCTTCTTCTAAATCTCCATGTAAAAAGGCATTTTTAATGTCAAGTTGCCTTAATTCCCATTTGTTTTGAGCAGCAAGAGAAATAATCAACCGGACTGTAGTATGCCTAACAACAGGACTAAAGGTTTCAAAATAATCCAAACCAAACTCTTGAGTATAACCTTGAGCCACTAACCGTGCCTTATATCTGGATATTGTACCATCAGGATTCCTCTTCAATTTATAAACCCATTTACTACCAATGATTGATCTATGTGTTGGTGGAGGAACCAACACCCAAGTCCCTTGACTGGTTAAAGCATCAAATTCTTCTTGCATGGCATTTTGCCAATGAACATCAGATGCAGCATGCTTAAAAGATTTAGGCTCAGACAGATCATTCAGACTAGCCACAAATGAAAAACCATCAGAACAAGACTCCTGGACATCAAGCTGCAATGAGTGTAATTCTGGTAAGGATGCTATGTAATTAGCATAGGTCTTCCTCGAAATGGCACCAGTTTGTAACCTAGTTTTCATTCGTGGAGAAGAAGAAACAGTAGGATGTGGAGTACCCCCAGTAGAAGATGAAGGAATGGGAAGAATGACCTCCAGTTGTGCAGGATCAAGGACAGGTAACACCAAAGCTGTCGAGGAAGATGAGGGAGTTGTTTCAGATTCAGGGACAGTCAAAGACGGACTCAGCGGGCCAGACAATTGCTGAGAAGGATGCAGAGTAGTAGAATCAGACAAAGCAATACCATTTCGACCCACAACACCATCGAGAGATGAAGCATCAGTAGGCACTGAAACTAACTGTGGCATAAAGATAGCAGAATGTATTGGAGAAGATACATGTGTGGAATCGGAAGAACTACTTCCCTGAGATGTAGTCTGCAATGAAAGCTGGGACTTATATGGAAACAAATCTTCATCATGAATCACATGCCGAGAAATGATAAATTTCCTAGACTTTAAATGGAAACAGATAACTCCTTTATAGCCAGAGGCATATCCCATAAAAGCACATAATAAAGCCCTTGGTTGCAATTTATTCACATTGTAAGGTCTAATGTATGGATAAACCGTAGTACCAAATATTTTAAGCCCTTGTAAAGAAGGAGAAACACCAAATAGACTTTGATATGGAGATTGCATGCCTAAAGCCTTGCAAGGCATTCTATTAGTCAGAAACACAGAATGTGCACAAGCATGATACCAAAGATCCTGAGGTAACTGAGCAGTAGTCATAAGGGTAATAGCAGTTTCCACAATGTGTCTATGTTTCCTCTCAGCAAGTCCATTTTGTTGAGGAGTGTATGGACACGAAATCATATGTACAATGCCCTTATGGTTCAGAAAATCAGCAAATCTTTTACTTATATACTCCCCACCACCATCAGATTGCAAACACTTATTTCCAATATTAAACTGAGTGAAGACAAAATTGTAGAATTTCTGAAAGACATCAACCACTTCTGATTTATTGATTAAAGGAAATATCCATACAAATCTGGTAAACTCATCAATAAAACTGACATAGTATTTGTAACCTTTTATAGACATAGTAAGTGATGGACCCCACAGATCAGTATGCACCTTTTGAAAAGGAAAGTTACAGGACTCGTTTCTATCATGAAATGGCAGTCTACACATCTTGCCAGAAATACAACAAGAACACACATGTTGATGAGAATCAGGAGAACAAACTATACTAGACTGTTTCAACATTACAGACAACACTTCATTGCTTGGATGACCACACCGTTGATGCCATACTTCAGACTTTATTTTCTGTCCAAGAAGAGCCACTGACTTCCGAGATGAAGACTCTGATAACAACTGCACTGGAATCCGAAACAACTCACCCTCATTTGTCCTTCCGTGATACATAACAGCCTTGGTTACCTTGTCCTGCACAAAGAACTCATGATCATCACATATAAACCAACAAAAATTATCCTTGCATAATTGTTTAACTGACAGTAGACTAACTGCAATAGTAGGAACATGTAAAACTGTTCTGAGAAGTAAAGACTGAGGTAAAGTATGTAAACGTGCAGAACCAATATTTTCGATTTGCAAACCTTCACCATTTCCAATAGTAATCTTATCAGATCCTGCATAAGATGAGACTTGCTGCAGGGAGTTCAAATCAGCAGTCATATGGTGCGAAGCACCAGTGTCTACTATCCAAGAATCTTGAGGGAGAAGATTAGAAGAAGCATGAGCTTGCATAGCAGTCAAGGAATGAGCAGGAGATGTGCCTTGATAGGCAAAGTTATTACGATGATGACAATCCAAAGCACTATGACCACGCTTGCCACATATTTGACATTCCACAACCTATCCCATCGAACTAGGACTAGTAGATCGCTTCCAACAATTAGGGGCTGTGTGACCACGTTTAGAACAGATTTGACATTCTGGAACAATATGAGATCTAGTTTCAGTATTCCCTGACCAAGACTGCCAAGTACCTCCACTTTGTTTAGGACCAGAAAACTGTCCACGTCCACTGCCAAAATTTGGACCTCTATAGCCCCCATTAGGCTTAGAACCAGAGAAAGGCCGCGAACCATGATTGGAATTAGGAAATGGCCTAGAAGAATTACTATTGCCCATAAAACCATAGAGATTTGTAAAATCAGGATATGTAGGAGGCAAAGATGGAGGCATCATGTATGAATTAGGAGAAAATGGAACTTGAGGAAACATAGAACCATCCATAGAATAAGGAATCTGTGGAAACATTGGACCTGGTGGCAGAGCAGGCAGTGCATTAGAACCCTAAGACATAAATAGCATACTCACAGGTGGAGCATTATTGGGAGCTCGAGTAATAGTACCACCAGTGGAGAAAGGAACATTATCAGAGTTACTAGAGGAACCCTGAGAATCACCGGACTGAGAAGAAGAACCTTGCATATACAACCCAGAAAAATTATGAGCCAAAGTGTTAACCATAGAATCAGCCTCTCTCTCTGCACACAGTAACTGCTCTCTGAATTCCCTTAGAGAAATAGAAGTATCTCGAGTAAGAATTACAGTTCGTATAGTAGAATACTCTCTCGGTAAACCAGATAAAGCAGCCACCACAAAATCATTGTCTGAAACAAATTCACCAGCTGCAACCAATTGTTCTTTAATGTGCCTCATTTTGGACAAATATTGATCAACTGAATCACCCCCCTTCTGAATTGTTTGAAATTCTGTTTTTAACGTATTCACCTTAGCCTTTGAGATTGATGCATATCTATCTTGAAGATTAGACCATGCCTCATGGGCAGTCTTGCACCCCAACACATGTTCGATAGACTCATCAGATAAAGTAGCAATCAATAGACTCAAAAGAGCTAAATCAATAGATTCCCATTCAAGAAAAGCTTCTGTAGCAACATTAGTAACACCAGAGGTCGAATCAATCACAAACTTGGGAGGACATATAGCAGTTCCATCAAAATGACCAAAGAACTTATAACCCTTTAACACCGACTGAAATTGAAACACCCATTTTGAGAAATTCTTATCAGTTAATTTGATCGTCAACATTCCAAGCAAACCCTCAATTTTAACCCCAGAAGACGCCATGATGATTAGCAATCAAGAAAACACAATACCAATTCAACAATTATCAACGAAATGGCCTACTAAAAAACAAATCTTGCAAAACAAAATTACCCAGATGGCTTCGTGCCCGCTACACAATCTTGAATTGGCTTCGTGCCCAGTCCACAATCCAGAAAATTACTCAGATGGCTTCGTGCCTGCTACAAAATCTTGAAATGGCTTTGTGCCTGCCACAATCCAGAAAATTACTCAGATGGCTTCGTGCCTGCTACAAAATCTTGAAATGGCTTCGTGCCGCAACTGATGTCATAAACCACAAACACAGAATCAAAGCTCCATGAACAAACCTCCAGAAATGCACAGAACACCAAGAATCACCAAGAACCAATCAAGCTCTCAGAAAAACCGCCCCAAGAAACTACGAACCACAGGAGGAACGAAGGCTCTGGATACCATATTAACTAGAAAACAGAGTTTTGACATTGAACAAGATCTTTAGAAAATGGAAGAGAATCAAAGAATCAAAGAAAAGCTTAGAACTCAGAAGAGGAAACGACTTCACTGTATTGTATTGTCAAAAACATACCAGCGTTATTACAAGAGAACCAAATATAAAAGAATATCACTATTTGCTTAATGACCAAGCTACCCCTCAACATATCTAACTAAATCTTATCTATTTAACCAAATCTTACAACTCTATCCAACTGTCCTTACAACCAATTCCAACTGATTTGCTGACCTGGCAGCTACCATGTGACCATACTCATCACAAACAACTCATGAATTTGAAACTCAAAGGCTACCATACAATGAAATCGTAATCATATACTTAACATAAGTAAGCACATTACACACCAGTATATTATTCAGTTTGAGTGACACTCGCCTCGATTTTGTTGGAGGAGGTCTTGGGCTTATCTGTTCATGTATGACAATTGTCGATTAATTGAAAGAAAAGGTAATAACATATGACATTTTTAGGGGCACCAGTAATATCATCTGCAACTTGATAGGTTTATAAGGTCACCTAATTGTGTTCATCTCTCAATTCTCCCATATATGTTTGTCATAATCCCAAGCACAAAATGTGAAATTGAAGCTAAAAATGAAATGATCACAATATTCACTTAAAGATTATTTGTGTAAAATTAAGCTGAACCATAATCCTTCAATATGGAGGAATACAAAATTGCATTAAACCTTTATAGGAGGATAAACTTACCCTTTTATTATACACATTAGTTAAAAAGAAATAAATATCTTTATATCTTAGAAACATTGACACATTTTTTCGTCAATAACTTGACAAAAATGTGAGTATTTAAATTGACAATTGTACTAGAATAATGTGAGAGTGGTCGCTTGGGGTTTATAATCTGGGCTATGACTGTGACGAATTTATCCCAGTGAATATTCCCATCCTCACTGCCCAGCTAATGCAGAAATTGTCTGGGCCATGAGTTCGACGAATTTATCCCAGTGAATATTCCCATCCTCACTGCCCAGCTAATGCAGAAATTGTCTGGGCCATGAGTTCGACGAATTTATCCCAGTGAATATTCCCATCCTCACTGCCCAGCTGCTGCACAAATTGATCCAACTCCTCCTCGGTGGGATCTTGCCCTAACGATCTCAACACATCGGCCAGCTGATCCCTAGTGATTATGCCTGAAAAAACAAAAAAAATGGACAAATTATTAAACAGTAAGATGAATCAATCTCTTCTTATATGTGCTTACTTGAATCAGATTCAAACCTCAACATAGTAGAATAAAATAAACAACATTAACATAATCATGTACGGAGCCACCTTGGGTTCAGACCCCACTCATTTTATTCGGTGGGAAAAATGCACATAATGCATATAGGATTCTCATGTTATAGAGCAGTTTCAGCTATAAAATTTTTGAAAAATTGATTGAAAAATTGGATGGGAGATCAATGGATGAGTAATAACATACTATTTTTATAAAGAGATATTTGATGGTATTGGTAATTAAGAAAATGCATGTGTAAAGTGATATTGTAATATATTGTATAAAAAAATCCTTATTGGTTAGTACATAAGTGCTTCGTCCCTGAACATAATAATTCGGGGCTAAGTTTAGTCATGGAGATTTATCATTTGTTACCTATACCATTATTTACAATAAAAAACATTAACATAATAAGGTAAGAATGTGTGGGATTGCTAATCATCTTTTACCTTGGTATGTGTACTAAACTGAAAAATTAGATCGGAAGCTAAGTTCAGCCCAGTCAGGTTTGAAATTTTTCCTTCGTCCCTGGCAGTATGTACTTGACATGATACACACACACACACACACATCATATACATGTACATATGGAAAGAGGGATCTAACCAGTGCCATCTGGGTCGAAGGTATTGAATTTAGTCTTGAGCATGTTCAGTTGATCATCTGTCAATGTATCTGCCATTGTTTCTGTTCTTTCCAAATTAAATGCACTGTTTTTCCTTTACTCTGTGGAAGCTCTGAAAGAAATGGAGCTATTTAAAGTGCATGCAGTTAGTTCTTTCGGTGGATAGAAGGAAATCTCGTTGCTCTGCTGCTTTTTACTACTCTTATTTGTTTTAATTTCTCAAATGACTACTGAAAATGCAACACTTGGAATTTGACTCGGTTTTTCTGGCGGAAGATAATAAGAGCACATCCTATATATATATATATAGGGTTGTGTAGAGGAGAGAGTAGGGAGAGAGATGTATTTATAGGGTTGTGTAGAGGATGTATTGTTTTCCCTACACAATACCTTTATTTATAGTAATAAGGGAGGGAAGATTCCTTCTCCTTCAAGGGATACAAGTCCTAATAGGGAAGAATAACTAGTATCAAATTTAATCTAGGATTTACATAATACAATGTTTATAACACTCCCCCTTAAGTGTGTAAATACTCAAGTAGATTCGGCATCATATAAAGTTGAGGAAGTCGACTCGTCGACACTAATTCTGGGAACACGCTAGTCCTAAAGTAAAGTATGAACTTGCAATGGAACTAAGTCTCACATAAAAAACCAATGGCTATGGTAAAACCCAAGTAAGGACAAAACCCCTAGTCTAAGGAAAAATGCATGAGAAATGCAAAGTCAAATGAAACGTTTACGGGACGTCGTCAAGCATATTATCAATCCAAGGTGGGTGCCTCGTCAAAACCTTGTTAGACAACAAAATCCAAAAGGAAAAAAAATGCTCCTAATCATAGGGGAAAAGAGTACATTAAGATCAAGAAGGTATACTCAGGATACTTCTCTTGAGTTTCACATAATTCCAAAGAAAACTAAAAATGTTACAAATCAGAAAGTTTATGCGTACCTATTCCTTGAACAAGCTTCTGAAACATCATCTTCAGTAGTGATTTTGTGAAGAGATTGGCCAGATTATCTTGTGAATGGATTGCGTGACTTTAATCTTTTGATGTTCATGTTGTTGATGTGAGAAGAAGAACTTCGGTGCAATGTGCTTGGTGTTGTGTCCTTTGATGTAACCCTCCTTGAGCTGTGCAATGCATGCTATGTTATCTTCATATATCGACGTCGGGACGTCAACGAAATGGTAAAGATCGCAGGAGCTTCGAATATGACCCACAACCACTCTCAGCTAGAAGCATTCTCGAGTTGCTTTGTGTAAGGCAAGAATTTCAACATGGTTAGACAAAGTGGCAACTAAGGTCTATTTAGTTAACCTCTAAGATATTGTGGTGCCTTCAACAGTAAAGACATAACTCGTTTGAGAGTGGGCCTTGTATGGATCAGATAAGTATCATGTGTCGGCATAACGAACATGGGGGGAATTGAATCATGGTAAGGGGGTGTGGCATCACTCGAGGATCTATAGGGATAGAACAGGCCCAGATCCGTAGTACCCATAAGGTAACAGAAGATGTCTTTAACACCAGTTTAGTGTCTGCGCGTCGGTGCATTACTGTATCTTGTCGAACATTAACAACGAAGGAGATGTCAGGCCTAGTGGATTGAGCTAAGTACAATAAAGCGCTTACTACACATAGATAAGGAACTTTGGGTTCCAAAAGAGTACTCGAAGGCATCATTTTATCCTCGTTAAAGTGGCACAACACCTTCTAGGTGTAGTTTGATTGATGTACTAAGATTCCATTTGAACGGTGCTTTATCTCAAGATCGAGACATTATCGAATATTTCCTAGATCTTTCATCTTAAATTTTGACTTAAGGTGCGCGATAATTCTCTCGAGCTTTTCCGGAGTTCTGATGAGATTCATGTCATTGACATAAACTGCAACACTCCCAAAACTAGAATGTGACTTCTTAATGAACACGCAAGGGCATAGTTCATTGTTCACATATTTCTAATAGTCAAATACTCACTCAAACGGTTATACCACACTCTTTCAGATTGCTTAAAACCATAGAGTGAACGCCTCAGCCAAATTGAGAGCGTGTTTCGGGGTTTTGAAATATTTGATCCAGTTAATGTAAGTCCTTCAGGAACTTTCATATAAATTTCTGTATCAAGATCAACATAGAGATACTTACTACGTCCATCAACCGCATACTCAGTTTTTCGAAAACGACCAAACTGATAATGTAGCGAGAAGTACTCACATCCATAACGGGTGAATAAGTTTCATCAGTTAATCTTAGGGTGTTGTGAGAAGCCTTGCGCAACAAGACGAGGATTGTAACGCACAATTTCATTCTTCTCATTACGTTTCCGAACAAAAATCCACTTGTAGCCAATCGGCTTCACATGCGGAGAAGTAGGAGCTAAAGGTCCAAACACCTTACATTTCGCATTGCAAATCGAGTTTGACTTAGATTGCTTGTTTCCAGTTTGACCAATTAGTTCTAAGTCAACATTCATTAATGGAATGGGGTTTAATGTCATTGCTCAACATGATATCAGTAATTACTGCATATACTAATGTATCGTTGATGATCATCTCATTTTTACACCAAACATCATCTAATTTAGCATAATGGACCGAAATCTCATAATTCTCGGGAGGTGGATTCATCTTTTCAATGACGCTTCCGTAATCTATAATTTTCTCATGAGTTGGATAGAATGAGTAGGTGGCAGTTGAATTCATGGTAGGCTCAACAGAGGCCTATACTGTGGGTTTCCTTTTCCGGAGGTATGAATCCTTTGAACTAAGTGGTCTGCCACGCTTTTGTGTAGAGACAGAGGATTGGCTAGCCGCTAATGTACGTGGATCAGCCCAATTGCGTCCTGGGCCTCCAGGAGGGAAGTTCATCGTGCATTTGGTACATCTATCTTTGTAGGCACATTCGCAGCTGGAATATGTGATCTTGTCACTCACACTAAATCCATGAAAGCATCTGGCATGCTTTGAGATACATTCTAGAGATTTAATATACCATGCACTTCAATTTCAGACTGAGCAGTTCAGGGAACTAAATGAGACAAAGTAGGAGTTGTCCACGATAATTAACATTGTTCTTCAGGAATAGTGACGTTCTTATCTCCCCCTAACAATGGGAAGACGGTTTCACATAAGTGATAGTCCAGGAAACGAGTGGTAAATAGATCGTCTATCAAAGGTTCTAAGTAACAAATAATTGAAGGAGAATCATATCCAACATAGACTCTCATCCTTCACTGAAACCCCATTTTTCTACTTAAGGGCGCCGAAATCAGCACATACATCGCACAACTAAAAACATGCAAGTGCGATATGTCGGGTTCGTATCCAATAACCAACAAAAGTATGCTATATGGTTGGGTTGCAACATGCCTTAGGTGGATCAACGTGGCTATGTGCAATATTGCATGACCCCAAGCAGTGATCAGGAGCTTAGTATATGTGACCAACGATCGACCAATCATTTGTAAGTTTTTAATGAATGCCTCTGCCAGGCCATTTTGGGTGTAAACATGGAGTACATGATGTTCAACTTCAACCCCAACCGACATGAAATCATAAAAACATTTTAGATGTGAATTCTCCAGCATTATCCAATCGAATGGATATCATTGGATAATCAAGGTGGTGAACCCTGAGCTTGATAACTTGAGCCAACATTTTGGAGAATGCAGTATTCTTTGTGGACAACAAGCACATGTGTGACCAACATGTTGAAGCGTTAACCAATACCATAAAATATCTAAATGGTTCGTAGGGAGGGTGAATTGGTCTATAAATGTCCCCCTGAATCCTTTGTAGAAAAGTAGGAAGATTTGAATGAATCTTGTCATAAGAAGACTTAATAATAAGCTTTCCTATGGAGCAAGTTTGACATATTATTCCTTGAATCAAACCTAAACTTCGAGTTAGTGGATGCCCGTGTGATGATTTGAGGATATGGCGCATCGTTGTTCGTCCAGGCTGTCCCAGACGATCATGCCAAAGTGTAATTTCATGCAGGGTCCTTGAGGCAGGATCAGCCATAAAGTGGCTCTCTATAAGGCGTATAGTTGTAGTATATAGACAACTCGGGATATGCACCATCTTCTTTAGAATATGCTTCTGGATATATTTGTAGGAAGTGATGCATATAAATTCAACTCCATTTTCTACATAAGTTTCAGCATGGTATTTATTATCTCTAATGTCCTTGAAACTTAACAACGTTCTTCCGGAATGTGGAGAATAAAGTGCCTCATCAATGGTTAAGATTGTACCACTGGACAACATTGTACGTGCCTTACCATATCCTTTGATCAGGTTGGATGGGCCTGAGAGGGTTGTCAAAGGTGCATTCTTAGGTACAAAGTTAGTGAAATAGATGTGCTCAAGCAAAACGGTGTGCGTGGTTGCACTATCTGTCAAACAACTAACTTTCCCACTATTCATACCTAGAAATAAAAATTAATTTGAATCGGTCACATGAATAAAAAGTTCTAAAAACAAATATCCATTCAAAATAATTAAATAATTTATGTATTCAAGGATGGTAATTAAAAAACTTAATATCCAAAAAGAAATCACCAACAAATAATCCAAACCTAAAGGAAACATTGTTCAAACTTAAACAATAAAACAAGGGAAGGTTTGGCCATTAGGAGGAATTCGGCCCCTAAGGTTCTCAAATTAACAAAAAATAGTTCATGTCTAAGATTCTAATTTGCCAAATGGTTAATAGCCTCCTGAAAGTCAAAAACCTCCATTTTGGTACTCTCCGGTTCATCCACTTGCATAAAGTTTGATTCAAACTTCTTACAACGAGAATGATATTCAACTACAACTTCTGGGGAGCATGGCAAACACGGGACCAGTGGTCTTCTAAACCATAGCGGTAGCACATGTCAGTATCCATGGTGTCAGGTGCTTTGCCTTTATTCTTGAAGTTTGGGGCCTTAGGAGCGAGGTTAGGGCACTTCTAGGCTCGGTTTCTTCCCTTAGATGGGACTTGGCTTTGTTGACATTGACGGGGTGGCTTCTGGCCACCTCTACCATGCCTATGTTGGCATTTTGGGCATTGGTTTATGCTATAGTGCGCTTCAGGCACAACAGTAGCCCTAGTAGGTCAAGCTTGTTGATTTTTCATCAATAGCTGATTCTGCTTTTCAATGAAAAGTAAAACAGAGGTCAAATTCGAAAACTTAGTTAAGTTTTGAGCCCTATATTGTTATTGTAGGACAATATTGGTAGCAGAGAAGGTCGAATAGGTATTCTCCAAGAGATCCTCT